GGTAACTTTGTGCTGATAAGAAGCTTCCACTGACCTTTACTAAATTTGATTTTCTAGATTTAGAAAAGTCTCAACTCCCTAAGAATTTGCTTAGTGAAGCACTGAGAAGCAGATGCAGTGTAGGCATCTTGGTGCTTCCTACTCAGTAAAACTTTCTTTTAGCAAACAAGTTTCTGCCAATGAACAATGTGTGAGGGGTCACTGCTGGCTCTTATCATTCTTAAATAGTAATTTTTTTATGTTAAAACAAATTTTATATAAAATAACATAATATTCCATGGAAATTTGTTTTACAAGTAGTGCTAATATTGGTGAAGACAAGTAGCTCCCCTCTCTTAAAGATTCATAGGGTATTTTTCTAATTATTTTCAAACTTTACAAGTCTGCCCAGCCCCTTTAATACCTAATACATGAGTATTGTTTGATCAAAAGATCAAAACTATAGTAATCTCTAACTTCAACGAATTTTTGGTAAAGATCTGAAAAATATACATCAGCTATATATGCAGGGGCCTTTTTAGGTATACAAAATCTTGAAAAAGGTAGATAAAGGCAGACAATCTCAAATGTGGGAGCACATAGGATGTTCCAAGTGAGGCAAGAGCAAAACTGCTGCTGTCATTATACCATTCCAGAATCTGAGCATCCTTCAGGCAGACTCACACAATGCAGTGACTGCTTGGCTGGGAGGCTCATCATGCTGTCCACAATACATGAGGCAGATTTGTGTGGCTCAGGGTGACTGAAGAGGAGGCTTCAAATGGTATTTTTTTTTTAATTTTAAAAAATTCTGCTTGGTAAAGGCTTTAGTGACCAAATTGACTGAGGGTTAGGAGATCATATTTTGGTCCTAAATAAATAGTGGCAATTTTTGGCTGTTCCTTTACTGGTGTAGGCACTGATGAATAAGCTGTACTGGCCATGCAGTGGTCAGGTGTTTCCTTGGGTGTTCCAGGAAGATTTTATTAGAAAATATACTAATATTTCCCAATTTCTGATGGGGGAGTGCAGCGAGGGAAGAAGAGAAGCAGTGTTAAACTAGTATTTACCTGCTCCAATTCCCTGAAGCCCAGGCCTTGTGCAGGCAGTTCAGTGTGTGATGGGATTGGTACTGACACAGTCTGCACAGGACAGCACTGCTGTGACACAGATCTTTGTTAATAGAGCTGCCTTAATTAAAAACAGAGTTCATTATGGAATTCTGTTTTGACCCTCAGAGTTAGATTTGAATATAAAAGATTTCCTCTTGGGAGCTGCATACAAGAGTTTGGAAATACATCTGAAGCTAAATTTGATATGGGAAATTGATTACAAAAGAGGCAGAGACCCAATGCTGGTGAATCCTGAATAGCTCTGATAGTCAGAGTGAGGTGGAAAGGACCAGTTGTGGCTGAGCAGTCCCTGGGGTGTTCCCTCCTTGCTGGGGCTGTTTCCAGAGAAGCTGAAGTGCTGTAACAGCCCCAAGCTCCAATCAGTGATGCTGCATCCTCTCTTTTTCTATAGCAGCTAGCTCATGTCCTCTGCACAACTGAGAGTAGCTCAAGGCCATCATTTCATGCATGACTTGGTAAACTGTGCAAGAAAGAGCACTGCCAAATGAGGAGCTATGCCAGTTTTCAATAAGAGGGCCATCTGTGGCAAAATGTTTTAGCAAGTTTGAAAACAATTGAGTTCTTTCCCATTTTTACTTTGATTTCATCTAGCATGTAAGTAACTTTGCAGCCTCCCAAGAGTAAATTTATGTTACTGTATCCTTGTTTGCTCTGCATTAAGTTCTTGTTGAGGCAAGTGGTTCCATTTCAGACCTGATCCTGTGCGGTACTGAAAAATGATTTTGCATCAATGTGACTTTTGATTCCTGTTGGACACATTTGTCAGGGTAGGTGAAATTCAGATATTTGTGAAAGATAATAAGCATATAAATAAATTCTTAGTAGTTACAGCAAAAGTAACTAAATGTAAAAGTAGTTTATTGCTGGAATTACAGCATTTTTAAATTTGGAAAGAATTCCAAGTAAGCTTCTCTCCCTTAACCCAGCCGGTAATATCTCATTACTATTTTGTTTAATGAAATTTAAGAAGTTGTTGCAATGGAGTTTTCATGTAGCAAGGATTATTGAGGAAATCTGCCATTTGTTTGAGATCTCTCAAATTGTCTTAAACTCTTGCAAAGAAGACTGTAAATACTACCTCTATTGATGGTAGAGGGGCAATAATGGGACCTCTAATACAGTATTTTTTAAACTAATTTTGGTGTAATTTAATGAGAAGAGTTTTGGTTTTTTAAAGAACATGGTTATACTTAACTTAACTGCACTTCCTAAAAGCAACAGGAAAATTGGAGTTGTTTTCTGTAATCTGGAGGTTTAATTTGACTTTTAGCTGTCTAACATTCTGCGGTTAAGCACCTTTCAGCTGGTAGAGTAAAGCAAATTAGAGAGCAAGTTAGTGTCACTCACTGAGGAGTCAGTGACAGAGACAGAAATCTGCCTTGGAAACATTGCCTGTACCTGGCAATTTGGCTGCTTGTTTCTGCTGGCAAGTGCTCTCTGCAACAGGTCATGAACAGAAAGAGGAAACCTTTCTGTAATTTGATGTTATTTTAGAAGGGACATGGTATGAAGAAAGTTCCTGACCTTTAAATATATGTTTACGCAGGAGACAGGCCTGGTAGGGAAACTTCAGGTGGGAAATATCCTCAGAATGCACGATTCCAAACTTCTTAAACTTGTGTTGTAGCTGCTTTTAGGAAAGTGCAGAGCTGCCCATGTGGAGCAGGCAATCATTTAAGGGTGAATCCACCTGCCTTCCAGAGTAAGTGCTGTCCATGAAGATGCTCAGTGCAGGGGTGTTAGTGTTTGTTACAGTGCTTTTGAAGTAAGTGTTCCCTTACACAAAATTTACAAGGGTTAGACACTTAAACGCAGCTTTGTTTTCTTGTTTCTGCTGAGTGAAATTGATGACTTGTCATGTTTGCAGCTCTTTAAATTAAAACTGTGCAAATATACCTAGAGATGGAATGTGAATATCTATTAAAGGAGCAGGCTTAATTTTGCAGCATTTGCTCAATTCTGTAGGCAGTAATCAGCTTGAATTTGGTGAAGCTTTTGGGAAGACTGCGTATGTATTGCCAAGATTAATCCCACTGTGTTTGCACAAAATTTTAATATACTCTATTCTAATTCTAATTTGTAAATTTGGACTGTTTATAGCATGATATTTCACAAAATTTTATGAGAGTAATTGAGGAAAAATATTTGGAAATAATGCTAAACTATTTCTAAATTTGGATTAATAAAAATCATATAGCTCTGAAGTTAGAAAATATGGATATTTCTTGTATTGGTCTTTCACACCATTAGACTCAGTGTATTGTACACTGAGTATATTGCATACTGAGTATTTCCCAAAAACACCATGGGCCTTTTTATATTTTAAACATAGGCTAATGTTAGAGCTGCAATTTTTCACCATTGTGAATTTCACTTGTATTTGAGGATTTTGAATCTGTTTTTGCTGCTGTTCCAGTAAATCTCCTGAATGATAACACTGAAATAACCCTTACACAAGGATGGAACTGCAACCTCATCTCCAGTAACCGTGACAAACATCACTATAATATTTACAGGGGGAAAATGTTCATCCAGGGTGAAATGCAGAGATGCATTAAAACATCAAACATTAAAAAAAAAAGGCGGCAGTTGAAACTGCTTAATTGCTTTGCTTAGAAAGACTAATGTAATGTCTGAGGAAGCAATCCCTAAATAAGTTAGGAGGTGAGATCTTTCAAAGCAGGAAAAAACCCAGGCATGGACCTATCAGGGAATTCAATGATGAGACTGTCAAGAGCAGTAAAGCTGATGTGTTGTTAAATGTCTTTGGGAGAGATTTCTTGGTGTTCTGTGTCTTAATGTAGGGAAAAGCAAACTTCAGAGGGCGAACATTTGGCATTTTCCTATTTGGACCCAAAAGTTTCCTCTGGCACAGGAGTGGGGGGTCTGTCAAAACGTGTGACTTTGCCTTACTCTGAAGTCTTCAGTGTGGGAATGAGCATGGCTGTAAAGGATGGAGCATGGAGGAGGCCATCCCTCTGTGGTACTTTAGCTGGCACATTCATTTGTGCTAAACCAAATAAGTTGTGGCAGCTGGAGCAGGGTGGTGGAAAGGAAAAAGCAGGAGAGCAGTGGAGTGAGGGAGAAGGCAGAGCATTGTGTGGTGGAGGGAGGTTAGGGTGGGCAGGGAGGCAGGAATTGCTCTAAGGCCGGGTGGGTCTGACACGGGGGCTGTGAGAGGGGAATGGGAGATGGGGAAACAGGCTTCAGGCTCTGAAATGGGGGATGTGGGAAGGAGGATGGAGCAGCAGGGATGCGCAGATGGAGCTAACTTCTACAGAGCTTTTTTGTGATATTTGCCTGCTGTCTGGAGCTTTTAGGGCTGCTTTTAGTGTGTAAGCGGCTGCTCCACATTCATTCCCCTGAGCCCCACGGCAGGGACTTTTGCTTGACAGCCCCTGCACCAAGGCAAAGGAGAACACTCGGGTTTCCCGGGCTACCAACCTTTGGCCGGGGGATGCTACCGCGGGGAGAGCGCTGGAGTTTGCCGCTCCTGTGGCCCAAACCCGGCGTTCTCGCCGTTCCCCCAGATCTGACACCCCCTCCCCCGATTGCCTGCGTCTGACTCATTCGCTGGTGCTTGTGCAAGCAGAGCGGGGCGGGGGGGTGGGGTGGGGGAGAAGCCTTCAAAGTATCCAGAGCGGCTGCTCCGGCTGTGGCAGGGCGGCCGTGAGCTGCGCCCTGCAAGGGCGGCGGTGCCGGGGGCGGCGGAGCGGAGCGCGCCCGCAGCGCCGCGCAGGCGGCCCCGGGTGGAGCCGCCGCACCTCCCGGAGCCCGGGCAGTGCCCGCCGCTTCCAGGGAGCGACAGCAGCTCCGTGCCCGCCGTCCTGGGGAGCTGCTGCGGCAGTATCGCCGTTTAAAAAAAGGGAAGAGAGAAAAAAAGAAAAGAAAAAAAAAAGATGAAGATGCTTAAATGCCTCCTGCCAAAAGTAAAGAGCGAATCTCAGTTGCAATGGCTCTGCTAAAACTTGATCATGCGGGATTTCAAGCGATAAAGAGCTGCCGGGCTGCTATTTACTGCGGTGGGAACAAGTTGCAGGATGAAATCCGGGCGTTAAGGGACCTGTTTTCCACTTCGCTGTTTGCAAAGGAATCTACTGAAATGACTTTGAGGATCTTTAAACTGGAACTATGTGGAGGGAGAATGCAGTAAGTAGCGCTGGTGGGGAGCGCGGATCGCGCCCAGCTCGGGGCAGGGGCGCCGGGCTCGGGCTCTCGGTGCCGGCTCGAGTTCCCCGGCAGCGCCGAGGGCCGGGCAGGGAGCACCGGCTGCTTTGCCTGGCGAGCCAGCGTCCTACATAGAGCTGGGGGTGCTTGAAGAACTGCCTTCATGCATATTTACTGATTATGAATGAAAAAAACCGGAGCATTCGAGCTTTCCGTGGCGGGCTCTGCTTTAGTGTCCCCCTGGGTTTGTTTATGGTAAATTGGGAATGAAGCGGTTCTGATCCAGGAGAGCTTTATCCCACACAGCTTTAGCTGTCCTCCGGGTTATGCTCGTTCTGAACCTGCCAAGAAAACTCCTGCCCTTGCTCATATTAATTAGCTTGCTTCTAGCTGCGCTTTCCAGGTTGGATGTCTCTTGCATTAGCGCTCAAACCCGTCCCTCTCACTTGGAAGCACACGGGCAGTTGGGAGCTCAGGATTTTCCTGACCTGGATAAAATGAGGGACGTATCCCGGACGGCTGAGGGCTCACGGAGCTGCTTTTAGCAAAGAGCTGAAATCTAAGTGAAGGGGGGGAACTTTTGATTGTAGTCACTTCATTTCCGCTCACATGCCACATGCGATCGAAGTATATTTCTTTTTCTCCTGTCAAATCTGCAACCTGACTAACGGCTTCTCCTCGTCTCCTCTTGTCCCCCCGCTGTCCCGTCCCGTCCCCCCCCATGTCCAGCCCCCCCTTGCCTGTCTCCCTGTCCACGTAGCTGCCCTCCCAGGATGCCATGTCGCTCGCAGGCTGCGGCGGGGATCACGCGTGCGGCCAGCGGCGCGGAGGCCAGCCCTGAGCCCGGGCAGCGAGGGCCGCGACATGCCCGCGGTCGCGACATGTCCTGCAGCGACACCGACAGCAGCACCGGCACCTCCGGCAGCCGCCGCCGCTCCGTCTCCTGAGGCGCTGGGTACGTGCGGCCCGCGCCCGCACGGGGGCGCCCTCGCAACGCGGCCGGGCCGTCGGTGCGCGCTCCCGGGGCCAGCGAGCCGTGCCCGAGGGGGTTCGGAACGGGGGGTTCGGGGGGCCCCGAGCATTCCTCGGGCTCGGGGGGAAGCCGGGGCAGTTCGGTGTGCTGTCCCACCGCGCTCCGTGTGGCGGGGCCGGCGGGAGCCCGGCCCGCAGTCAATGTGCAGCGCTGATGTGCAGTTAGATGCTCTGTGGAGTGCCCCGAAAGGAGGTGACGATGCTGCAAGCCCGTGTCTGGCTCTGTGTGTGTGTCAGCAGCAGGCGGCTGTGGCTGAGGATGGGGATAGGGCTGGCGGGATGAGAGGGGAGATGTGGAAAATGCCACCCCTGTTTGGACAGCCCCGCTTGTGTGCTCTGCGTGACGCTCTGCAACAAGCTTGGCTTGATGTGGCACAGGGACTCCCTTCCTGCAGCTAGCGGAGAGCCAGTTGTGGGGGTGGAAATCCCCCGGGGCACAGAAACAGGGGGAGATCTTGCAGAGTCAGCCCTGCTCTCCTTCTCCCTCCTTCAGATAGCTCAGATCCCTTCTGTGGCTCATCTCTCTCCCCATCCTACTCCGTCTATATTCAGCCCCCTACAGAGACTCAGTGAAGACGTGAGGTAACCGGTGCAGTGATGCTCATTTATGGAACACCCTCCCCTTCAACACTAGGGACAACTTTGTGTCCGAGATCAGCAGTTCTGAGATGCTCAAGTTCTGAATGCTGCATGAGAGGACAGAGAAGAATTAAGATAGAATATTGTGCTTTTGAATCTGTTCCAGAAATGCAGTAGGATTCCTTAAGCAGCGGCTGCCTAGGGGGGATCCTCAGAAATAAAACAGCATGAGTTTGGAATGCTGTGAGATGTATGGAGTGTGTGAACTGGGGTTTCCAGCAGACCTTTGGCTCACTTCTCTCATTTTGGGCTAAAGTACCTCTCTCTGATAGACCGTGACTAAAGTTTAAATAGATGTCCAGGATGAAGGAATAAGGATGGAAAAAGATTGCTTTTACCTATTTCAGCACAGCAAGGTTAAAGAGAAGGATGAGAATGTCTTTTTTTAAAATGATGTCAGTCATTTTAATTTTGTTGGCTATCCAGGAAGAATTTTAATGGGTCTTTTCTCTGAACTTCTGCTACAGTTTTTGCCTTGCTCATGGAAGGCCAGCTGTAATACTGTCATCAAGCCAATTTTTTGATAGGATATAAGAGGCTTGACTTGGAACTAAGGTGAAGGATGCATTATAAAAAGCTGCTAAAGTTTGTATTATGCCCAGAAGCTTTCTGTTTAAAACCTTCTTTGAAGATATGCAGTATATATATTTTTCTCTACTTTCTTCTTATGCATTGTGATCGCTTTTACAGGGGATAAAGCTGGCAAAGATGAGGAAAATTGGCTGTGCTCTCCTGGTACTCCAAGCTCTTCTGGCACCTTTGGATCTTGTTCGTGGAGCAGAGAAAAATTATCCCATCCTGAACATTGCAGTGATTCTGGGAAGGACCAAGCACATAACAGAGAGAGATATCAGAGCTCTCTGGACCAGGGAAATGTCAGCAGACCTGACTGTTGATATCAATGTCGTGACTCTTCTTGTGAACCAGACTGACCCTAAGAGCATCATAACGCATGTTTGTGACTTGATGTCAGGCACCAAGATCCATGGAGTGGTTTTTGGAGATGACACTGATCAGGAGGCAGTAGCTCAGATTTTGGATTTTATTTCATCTCAGACTTCTATTCCAATTCTTGGAATTCATGGCGGGGCCTCCATGATAATGGCAGATAAGGTAGGAAAATTTATTAAGAGCTCTTGCTATTCTGATGTACTTCATTGTATTGGTGTCTATCATGAATAATTGCTACAAGCAAGTTCAAAAAAGATGCTCTTAATTGTCTCTCTGTACTTGAAAAAGTATGCATAATGGTGTCTTTGTTGATGGCTCATCAAATATTCAGAAATATTTCAGGGTTCATGCCTGAAACTCAACTTTCTAACACTATCAAAGCAGCCCTAATGAGATATTACTCTCCAGCACATGGAATGATGGTCAGTTAAAAAACTTCATGATGAAAACTAATATGATCAATACATGTAAAACCAGTCTCCTAATAGTAGGATCATCAAATGATTTTGAGGATAAGCTGTAAAACTATAAGCAGATGTTCTGTGGTGCTTATGAGAAATAGCAAGGAATAGACCTGAATGTATCTGGGTGCAACAGTAATAATAGGACAATAATAAGCCAGACTTTAGTGGTCCACTACAGCATCTGAATGAAGTAGTCATGCACACATGAACCACTGCATTCCATGAATTCATTGAATGAGATTTTTGCTAAATGGATAGTTGTACTTTGCTACTGTAGTTCATGAAAATCCAGTAAGGGCTGTCTGAAATCTGGAGATAATGATAAATGGTCTTGTTGGAAAACATATTTTTATGTAATCTGTTGTGAGACTGAAAGAGCAAAAATGACTCATGTCCCAAGTTCCTTAATGCTGTAAGGATTTTTAAGAGCTCTTTGCTGGCACTGCAGCATTGATTTTGAGAGGTGATCCCTGCTGCTCCTGAGACAGGCACTGAGCGCAGGGCTCAGCTCTGCTGGGGGCTCTGCCTCACTGGAACTCAGAGGAGCTCCCGGTGTGGTGTGAGAGAGGGGAGCTCAGAGAGAGTGCACATGTGGGAAGTCACTGGTTTGCCAGCACTTGAGCATCTTTACTGTGAATTCTAACTTATTTCCTGGTATTTCCATGCTTTAGGGTTCCTTATTCATTGAATATTACTTTTTCTTACAAGTAACTTTTGAGTAGTAAAGGGCTCTCTGAACACATTTGAAAAGGAAGTGGTCCAGATGTATTATTTTGTGAAGTTGGGGGGGGGGGGGGGCGAAAGAAGCAGGGTTAATTATGATTGAGGAATCAGCTTAGAACTTTGGAAACTTTTAACCTCTGGAATAGACTTTTTTCCTTTGGGATAAGAGGTCTGTTTCTCTTATTCTCTTATTTGAATAATGTTCCTATAGAACTTGTCATACAAGGGGAGGACAATAAGTGCTGAATTATAGCAGGGATCCTATAAAAATGGCTTTGACACCTTGATTTATACAGAAAGATCATTACAGTCAATGCTGCTATCTCAAATGCAATTGCAGTGACCAAATTACAGAGGCAGTTATTTCATGTGCTTTTAAATTACAGTGCAGATTTACTTGTCTTTTAAAGCTGGGTTTATATGTATTTAGTGCTTCTATTTGATACATATTTCACTTAACTGTGTCTGCCAGTGTAAGAACACTTGATCTCAGCCAGGGCTAAGTGATGAAACACTGGAAGAAATTCTTACAGAATCATCTTCACTCTTGGTGGCAGATGCAGGATGTTACTGATATAGATCTATTTTTACTTTTATATAAGAGCCTCTAGAAAATGAAACAGTCTATTTTTCTGTCTCAGTAAATTACTACTATTTTCACTGTATGCTAATATTATCGTTATTGTATCACTGCCATTTATTTTAGGGGTTATCAAAGTTTTATTAGCAAACTTTCCTGCTGAAATTTAGCTTCTAAGATTTCCATTTGGGAAATCAAAATTGTCTTTTGTGTGTTAAAACAATCTAACAGAGCAGTCTTCAGTAGCTTGAATTGGGTGAAGGAATTGTTTGTTCATGCAACTAATATTGCCTTAATTTTCAGCCTGACCTTTGCAATGTGCAGTGTCTTGCAGTGGGGTTTGGAACATCTCAGTAATGAGACTTGCAGGTGTCACTCAATTAACCATTCATTTAGGAATGAATTCCTTGGAGATGAAGTTGAAATTCACAGTGCTGTCATAAAGGCGGGGAGATGAAATCTGAGGGAGAAGGATTGGAAATATGAAATGTTTCAAATCTCTGTCAGGATTTTAGCTGGCACACAGAGGTGTTGGCTGACTTGTGAAGATTATTTTAAGTCTCCTGCTTTGTCTCATGCATTGAGATGCCTGGCTGTGCAAAAAGTACTTGGTCCCACTCCTGCTTGTGGATGTAGTGCTCTGGCACTCTAATAAGGCCATTTCATTTATGTCCTTATCCTATGAGCTCTGTGCCAGGTGGTTATGTGATGCTGAACTCAACTAAACTGAGGGCACAGGAATGGGAACTCATTTATAGTGCTCTATACTGCTGAAGGCTTCACTGAATGACTCAGAGGAGATAAGCTACCATATTCTCTGTGGCTAATAAATATTATGTCAATGTGAATCTTGACTGAAGACCCATATCTGTAAGAAAAAGAAAGCTGTTTTATATTTCCCAGAATGAGGTATGGCCATATTTGGAGTTTGCAGTGATTTAATGCAGGACATAGAGCTTTTGAAGTGCTGTGTCCCTGTCTGAACATCTGGGCTGAGTGGTGTGTTGTCTAGACTGCCTCCTTTGCCAGCCCAGCTCTGCTTCAGTTTGCTCAGAGTTTGCCTGCACCATCTGAGGAGGGATTTTGCATGATTCAGACATGGAAAATAGGCATGTGAAGCCAACCAAGCCAGAATGTTTTCTGAACTCTTTGATCTCTTTTCACCTGATATCAACCCTACCAACAAACCAATGGGGCACCTGGGGGTTTATGGCACTTACCTGATCCTGGCTGTGCTGCAGAGATGCCCTTTGGTCAGTGCCACAGCTGATTTTATCCCCTGGTCTTGGCAGGAGCTCTCCTGCCAATGAGCTGCTCCTTGGCTTTGGTCCCCACTTCTGCCACGCACTTCAAACATATTCAGATGTGGGAGAGTCTGCTGAAACAAGATGAGAATTGTCTGGGGCATCTGTGCCAGCCTGCTGTGCATCAGCATCCCTTGGAGGATGCTGAAAACAGGCTGGCTGTTTATTCTTCTTGTATCTCTTGACATTTGAGACATCTCAACACAAACATTGCTTAGGAACTGTTTTCTGACTTGAACATTTTGTTTCAAACATAGTTACCTTTGTTTCACCACATGCTATGATTATAATGGCAGTATTTGTGATACTTTTTTTTTAAAAACAGAACATGTGTAGTTCTGTGTCAATGCTAAAAGACTTCTTCACATGTGGGAAAATTATCCCTACGTATTGTAAATATGTCCAGGAATATTTAGTGTCTTTGAAAGATAGTGCTTTTGCTGATTGCAAACCTAAATGTTTCCAGAAGACATAATTTGAGGCATTTTATTCTTGTGGAAGCACTCAAAGTTATAACATAGTCAAGAAGTGTTAAGGGTGAGGGTAATTTTCCAGAAGGGCTATCACAAAGTGATACTTCTTGAAACAGATCTGGGAATGTTATGCAAAATAATTAACTGCTTTTCCAGAAGGTTAGTGCTATATATTATTGCAGAATGATTCTGTGAGAGCCCTGGAGGTTAGACAGGGTTGCTGGAAGTTGTCTAACCCAGCCCTTGCTCTCTGATGAGCTAATATTGAAATCAGATCATACAGTCAAGTTTTGAATATCTCCCTGGAAGTAGATACCACAGCCTCTCTGGGCAATCTGTTTCAGCAATTAACCTCTCTCACCATGCAAATATTTTCCTTTTATCTCATTAGAGTTTCCCTTGATACCACAGGCTTTTGTTCTTTTGCTGTGAGTCGGAGTCCAGCTCTCAGTGCCAGTGCCGGCTGCAGTTACAGCGCTCCTCACCTGTCGCTTTCCTGGGGAAAAGGTTCCTTCAGCCCTTGCACTTCGGGCGTCCTTGGATACATCGGTGTCTTGTATGGGGTGACCCAGATAGGACAGGGGGCTGCAGATGTGGCCCGGTGGGTGCTGCAGGGGGAGCAGCGGCTGCCGCAGCCAGGCTGGGCTGTGCCGCCGAGGGGGAGCACTGCTGCGTCCCCTTCAGCCCATCCCCTGGGCCCCGGGGCTCGGCCGGACACTTCATCAGCATCGCGTCTAATTGCTAATAAGCACCGAGCGAAACTCTGCTGTGAAGTCTTTCGTTCCTTTCGTGGTGATTTTTTAGGTACTTTAGTGAAACACTTGAAGATGTTTGCATTACTTGTCATTTTCACCTCATTATAGGTATAGCTGGAATTGCTTTGTTTTAGCTCGTTTGAGAGGCACAAAACTGTGCTGCACTTGTGCAAGCCAGAGCTCTAAGCAGCTGTGATCAGAGCCCTCCCCGACTCCTGGCTGTGTAGCATTTCTGCTCCCCTATCTGTATGTGACTTAGATGTTCAAGTTCCTCCACACATCCTCCAGCTCCTTTGCCAAATGTCTTCATGGCACAGGGATTCTCTAAAGGACCAAAAGAGGTTCAAAAGCCACACTTAACTCTTCTACTATGTGTAAGTGTGCTTCAACTCCTAATGCTTTCAACCTTCTTTGATGGATGGCAGGGGGATGTTGTATTTGTTTTTTATTGTAGAATCTTTTCTGGAGGTCATCCTAGATGGAATGTGCTCATTAATTCATGTGTCTGCCATATGCATACATAGATTTGTCTAGTCTGTTTAGTTGGTTTGTAAAAGCAGTTCTGTATTTCATTATAGAAAACTGTAATTTTAAGATTTTCTATAATAGCAACTTTTCATTCCCCCCTTACTGGTGGCTGATGTGTATGGCACTATGTGTCTGAGCGTGATACTCACATTGGCTTTTTTACTGTTTGGAAGATTAAACCACAGGTTAATAAATACTTTAGTGCAAAAATAGCAGTATTCATATAACTGCTGTTTCAGGTCTAGACATAGTAGCTTGCACTACTACATAGTCTGTTGCACACAATATTTCCAGCTTCTGACTCATTTAAAGAAGCAATTGAATTTGATTTTCTT